GCGGCGGCTGTTTGGCGCGCTCGCCGAGGCGGCGGGGGCTGCCATGTACGACCGGCTCATCGGCCTGTTAGCGGACCGCCTGCCCGAGCACATTGTCCTGCGGCGCGGGCCCCAGCCGGGTGGCGGCCAGGGGTGGGACGAGCTGGACAGGCAGGCGGCGCTGATGGCCAAGGCGCGCGTGCTGGTGCGGCAGCGGCCGATCCGCGTGCGGTTGGAAGTCGACCAGCAGCAGCAGCAGCAGCACCAGCAGCAGCAGCAGCAGCAGCAGGGGCGGCCAGTGGCGTTGGTGATTGAGGAGGTCGGGCTGCAGTCGGTCGCTGACGTGCTGCGGCGGGACGCGGAGGGCGGCGGCGGCGGCGACCTGGAGGCCCTGCTGCGGCGCCAGGCGCCGCCCCCCGCGCGGCATCAGCAGCCGCGCGGCGGCGCCGGCCGCGCGGCGGCGGGCGGGCGGGCGGCGGCACCGCAGCTGAGTGTGGCGGAGGTGCTGGCTGACGCGTGGCAGGAGGACAGCGACGTCAACGCGCAGTTGGGGGCGCTAGTGCACTTGTTCGGGGAGGCGCTGCTGGCGCAGCTGCCCCTGGGGGAGCTGCCGTCCTATGTCATGTAAAGCCGTCGAATGTCGTGTGACGCCAGCCGCTGAAGCAACCTCAAGCCCCCAGCGCATCTCAAGCGTGTGGGCTTGCGTCGAACAATTGAGTGCGCACGGCCTGCTGTTGTTATTTGTGCTGACTGTCTGTGCGGCATTTAGGCGAGAAGCAAACAGCTGCTGTGGTCTGGACCTGTCGTTCAGCGCGACCAGTGGACTGCAACGCTGCAAGCGTCTAATGGAATAGTCACTGTTGAAGTAACAGGGGCTGCTCGCAACCGCTGCAGACGTGCAGGGGGGATCCTGCAGTGTTCAGTCGGGCCTGGATAGGGCGCAGGGTCTGTGATGCGTCAGCAAGTTTTACAGCTTTGATGCACTTTGGAACTTCAACCATGGGCACAAAGGATTGAAAAAAGTAGCAGCAGCAGCAGTCAGTAGAACATAAGGTTGTGTGAGAGCACTTCCCGCACATTTCTGTGCCAATCGCATGCGTTTTGGAAGTTCAAGACGACCCTTACCCTACTTGCAAAATTGGGCAGGCCATCATGTTTGTCATCTGTCACAGGCCGCCTTGGCTCAGGCAGGTTGACGGAACAAGCATGCGTTCGCATTTGTTGCAAATGTTTTTGTCTCACTCCCAAACAAGCATCAATGCACGTTGTTGGTCATGAACTGGCCGCGGCCGAGCTTGCCCAGGTCAGGGTTTTTGGCGGCCTTGGTGCTGGGGGCAAAGAGGACCACCAGGAACTCCTTCTTCTTGTGCCACGCGGGCGGCTGCGTCACCAGCATGCCGACGTGGTAGGCAGCTTTGTTTGGGGGGATGCCACCGGCGGCGGCGAGCGTGTTGGCCATCTCTGGCGTGGCGATGCCGCTGTTGTAGAGGGTCCAGATGTCGTCGAGGCTGCTGACCGTGGTGCGGAAAAGTACGGCGTCGTCCTGGTTCTGCGGCTGGCTGGGGTGCAGGCCGCTGCAGAGGAAGGGCTTCTGCCAGACGCCCAACGGGCCGGGTGCCCAGCTGCTGATGCACTTGTCGATGCCGGGCAGGCGCCTGCCAGAGTGGATGTGCATCTGGTGGAACTCGCCTGCGTTGCAAACAGGACGGTGATTGGTGGGTGCGTGGGTCGGAGGGTGGGTGGGTGCAGCAAATGGCAGGTGATACACAGGAATGGAGGGAGGGACATGGAAAATGAACAAATGAGCGGTGGAGCCAATTCGCAAGGGTTGGGCTGCACTGATCAACAACTCGGGACCTCCAACGCAAGCGGAGCCCCCTCGTGTGCTCACGGAAGTAGGGCGGGTTGATCGCCAGGGCCGCAGTGGTGACGTCATCGAAGCCGCGGTCGTAGTTCCTGCCTGTCTTCCTCACGGCCGGCAGCGAGTCGGCCCAGAACGAGGCGAACAGGTGCCCGGTGGCCTTCTGCACGGCGGGCGTGTGGACGTCCTCCAGGCCCCTCACGGGGCTGGTGGCCACCAGGATGACGTGCTTCGCGTCGTTCCTGCGCAGCGGGGCGGCGGGGGGTTGGGGGCGGGACGTCAGCAGCGCGGTCGGAGGGCGGCGCGGTCGGAGGGCGGCGCGCTTGCTCTTGGCCGCGACAGCGAGCGTCCCGGGGGCCAGCACCACAGGTGGCACCCAAGCCCTGCATGCCGAGCGGCAGTCATATGCAGCACCGCCGCAGGCCGTGGAGCCGGTGCCAGCGCACCGTTGCAGCGGCCCCAGCCCATTGACTCCCGGCCCCATGAGAGACTCACGAGTTGTCCCCGAGGTATACGTATCCGGCCTTGCAGGTCGGCTTGTCCTGGGCGGTGCCGGGGCAGCCCTCCTCGACGGCCTGCCACATCAGGCAGCCCATCTTGTCGCCCTTGATGATGGCGACGCAGGCCTTGTTGACGGGCATGTCGCAGGTTGCTGTGTGATCGTTCACGGGATCCTCCCCATAGTTAAGCGCCAGGGTTTGGCTGGGGGGAGGGCAGGAAAAGTGGGACAAGGCGGGCACGTGGCCAAGGTAAGGTGCGGTCGAGAGGCCAGAGGGGGTCACGCGCCCCAAGGGGAACCGAGAGCGCGGGTTGCGGCTAGAGGCAGACTGCTTGCAGGAGGGGGAAGAGGGTGGTGGTGTGGCGGGACAAGCGCGCCTGGGGATTGCTGGGCCCCGCACCGATGCGCAGGCGCGTGCGTGCACACGCGCCGATGTGTGGGGGCACAGCGCTGCGTCGGAAGCACTGCGTCGGACGCGCGCATTAGCAGCTCACAATTTGCCTGGAAAGCGGTCCCATTCGTTCACGCAGTCGGTATAAGACGTAGCGGGGCCCTGCAACGTGGGCCCCCGCGCCAGGCCGCTGCCTCGCGTGGTCGTCCTGGCAGAGTGGTGGTGGTGCCCTGGTGACGACGCAGGCAAGAGGGCCGCGGCCTGCCCCTGCAGGCGGGCGGTCAGGCGGCCACCGGGCTGGGCGTGGCAACCAGCGATGGCCACCACCGCTGCCAGCGCGGCGATCAGGAGCGCTTTCGCCATGAGGCGTCGGTGTCTGGTGCGGTGCTGTGCGTTTGTCAACGGATGCGGCTGGCCTTGCTTGCAATGATAAGTGTCAGGAGTGCAATAATTGTTTGTGGTGTCTCGTTCCAGTTGCAACGGCGTTTTATGCGGTTGTCCGGGCTTCAAGTCGGCCCGTTGCGAAGAGTGACCGCGCGGTCTGCGAGTTCCGTGCCTCAGTGCCATTGGTCATCCGGAGCGTTGGTCATCGCGAGTGGCAGAGCCTGATGCGCGTCCATACCACTTTCTGCACACTCCTCCTCACCCACTTCGCACAAGCTGGGTGCGTCCCATGGAAGCGTGGGGAGGGGCGGCGCAACAGCACTGGCGGCCCAGACCTTGCTTGAGGCGGGTACGGTATATGAGTCACCATACTTGTATTGTGGGAGATACGAGTGATGCGGTATGTAGGTGCAACAAGCAGCCTTGTGCGCACCGCGGAAGGTGGACGATGATGGAGGACGGGCATGTGCCACAGCGATTCAAAGTGCGTGCACACATTGTGTCGATCAGGGTTGGCAATGCTGCCTGATTTCAGTGTATTTTGTGCAACACTGGTGGGCACCACATGCATGGTGCAGTTTTGCTTGTTCAGTGCTATGCACTTGCTGCTTGGTTGCGATGACCTGCCTTTGTGATGATCCTTGGCGATCCTGCAAGCCAGAACACAAGGGTGGTGATAGAAGCGCGCTATTATGGCTCTTTTCAACTACATTTTGGTCTGGGGGGTGCGCATTTTTGCTTCAGACCATCAAGACCATCAGCACCATCACCGACCATCAGAGCGCGTAGATACTGCTTTTTCAGGTGTCTGGAGATGCATCAAACGCACTTAGGTATCTATAATATGCTTCGTAGGCCCCATGGGGGCGCGGGGAGACGTCCACGAGTTGCCCGCGCAATCCACCACGAGCGATCTCTACTGAGCGCGATCACGAAAGACGCCGCTTGCTGTGTTTTGCCGCTGCAAATAAATCTAATACGTATTTTATACTGTCATAAAGGGTCCAGGGCAGGTAAACATGGCAAAAGGCCCATGCAGTAGGCCTGATGGTGCTTGATGGTCGGCTTGATGGTCGGCATTGTCCCTGATGGTCTTGATGGTCCGCTGCAACACCCCACCACCAAAACGTAGTTGAAAAGAGCCATACCCTCTAGAATGCTCATGTACAATGACCACGTGACTCTACACTTGCACGCCAAGCAGGAGGCCCGGGCATGAGTGAGTTGTGGATAAGTCGTGCGTCGTGTGAAGGTGGTGAGAAGCAGCATCGACTGCTGCCACGTCAATCACACGAATAGTTTTCCTTGGACTTTGATGATCATCCAGGCGGAAGGTGTTGTGTAAATTGCTGCGCTGGTGTGAAACCGCTCAAAATGCAAAATACGAGCCTCGCCTAAGGCTTTAGATCCGGAGGAGTGTTTCGTAATCAGTGAAAAATTATGATAGAGACTGCACCAGCAACGCCTCGCGACAGGCAGGGCGCGGCGGCGGCAGCGAAGCTCAAGGCGTTGCGCGATGGTGGGGTCGCTCTCACGGAAGCGCAATTGCGCGAGCTGGTAGGCTGAAACAACCATGCCCAAACTTCCAGCATGATCATGTTTAAGTCGAAGCGGGGTGGGTTAGTAGTGCAGGGTGGGTTAGTAGTGCCACATGCAGCATCTCCAGGCCCCAGTGCACACACCAGCTGCTGCGCATCGTGCATGATGCAAGCAGGCCGCTCTTGCCCCCCGCGCAGCCCCTGCTGGTGAAACAATGTTGTGTGGAGGAGCTGGTGAGCCTGAGTCCCGCTCCCGCCGCACCTATGCGGTTTCTGGGGGCTGCGCAGCTGGAAACTCTGCCCTTGGTGCAGCGGCTGGCCGCCGCACAGGTTTGCTGGCTTCAAGTCTCATCCACGCCCTGCTCCATGCTTGCCAAGCAGTGTGGGTGCAAATGTGGCTGGTTCATGTGCAAAAATACTGATTCAGTGCCTGCTTGACGTATAATCTGGCAACATGCGTCTCCAATGGGCCCAACAGTGCGCATCCTGCCTGCTCGCAAATGCTTGGTTGGGCTGGGACGGATTTGCTGCGTGCTTGTTTGCTTCGAGCGCAGGCCCTCATCTGCAGCATCTCCTACAACCACACTGGGGCCACGTACTTTGATTTGTCCAAGAAGAGGCCCTTCTGCAGCATATTGGAAACTGGTGCGTGCATGTACTGGGGCTCATGACTGTGCAGGCTTGCAGCAATTTGAAGCATGTGCAGCCTGACTGTGGAGCACGCAAACCACCTGCTCGGCGAGCCAGAAGCCTGCAAGCCACCCTTCAGATGTTGCTACTTGATGCACCCAACTGCCGCAGCCCGGGACATCCTGAGGGAGCCGCTGCCCATCAAGTGTGTCGAGGCGACGTTTGTGGCACTGCTGGTGACATGCGGCTGGCGCGACCTCGACCGCGTCGCCGTGGGCTTCAAGAGCAGGGCGGCCGATGGTCAGGTGCGGAAGGGCATTGCAGCAGCATTGCAACGGCGTAAACTTTACTATTGCCCCAAACTACCAGCGGTGGCTTGAGAAGCTGAGGTGAAACGGCCAACGCACACAGCACGGATGAAATGTTCTCCCAAAACATTTTACAGACATGCCTGCCCTCCCCGGTGCTAATTGTGAGCAGTGCTACCGCCACATCGTGCTCGCCGTGCGCGACACCTCATCCGGTCTCTGGGGCGCCCTCGGGCTCAGCCGCCGCCGCGAGCTGATGGACAAGCCGCTGAGGCACTCCAGCCTTTCGGCGCTGGTTGGCGATTTCGTGGCCGCCTACGCGCTGTGGGGCCACGAGGTGCTGAAGGTCCGCGTGGGGCTGCCGGCTCCCCACGAGGCGGCGTGCAACAAACATGTGTGTTGGAGGTGCGCGGGTTGATGACACATGCGTCCATGCGAGCGGGCACGGGTGCCGTAGTCATGCTGCAATTACAGCAAGACATGCACGCAATGTGAATGTTTGATCTGTTGCATCAAAACAAGGCTTGAGGTTGTATTCAGTCACCACTGCTCCTCGGTTGCTCGGCAAATTTTTGCAGGTACATATCAGTCGACCTGCCAAAGAGGGGCTGGCCCAAGGCCGCCGCAATTCTGGACGAGCACGCAGCACGGCTTAAGGAGCTCCAGGATAGGTACGCGCTGGCAGCTGCCGCCGTCGCTGCAGCTGCGGCGACTGCTGGGGCGGCAGCGGCACGAACAGCGGCGGCAGGGGTGGCAGTGTCAGGGGCACGGGCACAGCAGCCCGTGGCAGTGGTTGGGGATGGCAGCGTGCGAGGCAGCCTTGCGCAGCTGTCCGTACGGCTGCCCGAAGGCAGGCATGCAGGGCCGGAGGTGTCTGCACCGCCAGGCAAGAACTCCCTGCCTGGGACAAACCATCTGGGTGCCCGACAACAGCAGTCGCAGCTGAATGGCCGGCTGGCAGTATCCGTCAAGCATGCCGACCAAGTTCAGCGGCAGGCGATCAAGCCTGGCACCCTGACATCGGCGGAGTGTGGCGCCAGCGCGATGGCTGCCACCCTCAGCCCAGGAAGCAGCGCAAAAGAGGCAGCAGCAGCGGTTAGGGCAGGACCCGCCGCAGCCCCCACATCGCCAGGGCGCTGTGCAAGCAGCAGCAGCAGCAGCGAGGATGAAGACAGTGGGGGCGCTGATGATGACTTTGGCTCTGACAGTGAAAAGAGTGCCGACAGTGTTGTCGTGGTGCTGCGCTCGCCGCGCCGCAGATGAGCGGGTGCAAAGCTCGCTAGAAGGCCATCAGCGATCGCAGCAAGCCTGCTTGTGCCCCTGCCTGTCAAGTTCTAGCGTCAGCTGTTGTGGAACACGGTAATACCGTAGCCCGCCAAAAGTGATCTGTTCGCACAACATTATTGCAGGTCAGTGATGTTTCAGAAAGGGACGGGCAGATTGGAACACAGGTCCTGGAACGGCGCAGGCAGTCGACATCAACACAAAGCGTCAATTCCAGTCACTCGCAGCCCCTCACCAGGATCCCTGACCTGTTGAACACAAGGGCCATGCATTGTACCACCGCGTGCAGAGGGTGCACCTGGCGCCCTACCTGGCGGTGCACATTATCTGGGGCCGAGCAGGTTGGCGAGGATCTTTGCACTCGGTGTTGACTCACCACATGGTGAACATCACCCTTTTTGAGGTGTGCACAATTTCCCAGCGTACAGGCCCGGGTGATGAGATGTAGAGCAAAAAATTATTGCCAAGAAATCTTCCAATTACGCAACAATTCGCCATTGTTCGCAAACGCCTGATCTCAGGAACCCAGCCAATACTACGTGACCGCGGACGTTACTGCGCTGGCTTAAAAACTGTGACGGCAGTGCTGGTCATACGCTGCACATCACGCAGCTGGGCCCCTTGCACATCTCTCGACGCTGCCGCCGCCGTTGAGGCGGGGTTGACGAAGCTTGCAGCAATGGGCCAAAAGTGGGACCATATCAGCCCCTATGCAAGGCGGATGATAGCAAAACAGCAGGTGTGACTAAACCAAGACGTTGAACGATCATGGAGTGCCTATCCCTGATGACGAGCGTGGCAACCTCAGTTGATCAGTGTGGACGGCCACGTGCAAGCAGCGCGGCGGCAGGCGCCTCACCCTGCCCTATATCCCTGCACCCCTTGGCGGCAGATGTTTTTTGTGGGCACGGCGCCACTGGCAGCCGAGGGCCACGTCAACCTGTCGCCGAAAGGCCACCGGGAGCAGACGTTTGCGATCTTGAGCGACAACCAGGTGGCCTACCTCGACATGACCGGCAGCGGCATCGAGACACTGGCGCACATCAAGGTGAGGGCTGCCAGGGTGGGGCAGGGCTGTCTCCATGAGGCAGCCCGGGTGTTTGCTTGGGGCTGGGGCACGGTGCCGCTGAGATTGGCGCAGCCGGCGTGCAGCTCTTCCCTCGAGAACCATTCACAGCTCAGGTGTACATACATCCAGGCGCTGCGTCTGCCAACCATCTCCCCACTGCTTCGACTCAGAAGACTCCACACCTGTTGTTTGTACCCAAAATCCCACCATGCTATCCAGGAGAACGGCCGCATCACATTCATGTTCTGCAGCTTCGAGGGTTCCCCGTGCATCATGCGTCTCTATGGCCGCGCCGTCGCCCACGAGCTTGGCACCCCTGAATTCGAAGACATCGTGGCGCGCGCCTTTCCCGCGGCCGCGCCCGTGGACGGGGACGCCGGCCCGGGCGACGCGCCCGCCGCGCCCGCCGGCGTCATCGGCCCGCACCCTGGCTTTGCGGCCGGCGCGCGGTCGGTCATCGTCGCAGACATCTACGAGGTGGCCTCGGCCTGCGGCTACGCGGTCCCGCTGATGGAGTTCAAAGAGGAGCGGGACAGCCTGGTGACGTGGAGCGCCAAGAAGGGGCAGGAGGCCATAGAAGAGTACCGGCGAGGCCATGCCACCAGCTTGGACGGCCTGCGTGGGCTGAACATTGCACCCGGGCCTGCGGTCGGAGCAACGTAACGGGCCCCACATGTTTTACTGCAGGCCGAGCTGCTCTGCTCATTCCCATCGACTTTGGCACCAGCATCACAAACGAGATCATCACCGCTGCCTTGTTTGCATTCCCAGTACAAATTACTTGAGCAGTGTTGCCCCACCTTACGTGCAACAGCAATCCTATCAACATGTTTTGACGAAAGCTTAGATGTAAGTGCGCTTGGCTGTGCAACGGCCAACCAAAGACGAGTGTAACGGCGACCTTGAAAGTTCAGTCAAGATGGTCAAATGCAAACATGTTGTTGGCCACAAGCTTAGCCCTCTGTCGTTCGCTAGAATTTTTGCTACACTCCCAGGTATAGATGTCTGCTCAGGATCTCTGTCATTTTGGGCGGCTGCACCCCCAGCCAGGCCGTGCGACGCCAGTCCAGTGCCAACTGGGCGGACCCCCGGCGTCGCGGGAGGAGGGAGCGTCCAGCGCAAAGCACCATGACAGGCCCTTCCCTCTCATAAACAGTCTCCAGATCCTGTAAACAGTTGAAGTTACCCCTCAACTCTACTAACAGAGCTAAAAATCCATCGTGCCAGCCCACAGGTCGGTCTGGCAGAGCGCAACGTGTCGCGAATCACCGCGGCATCTATGCAGCGCTCCTGTGGCGTTTCGCGCCTCGGGGTGCGCTTAGTGCCACCCCTCAGGCCCCGTTGTGGGAGAGGGATCTACATTGCTCTGCGCCCGCGATGCTCTGCCCAAGCGGCCGCAGCCGGTCCCGGGCTGGGATCGGCTCGTCACTCGTTACAAGAGCCTCGCCAAAGCTTCCTGAGCTGGTGGAAAGTTGAGGCACCCGGCAGGGACGGAAAAATACAGGAAGGGCGCCCTCAGAAGCTTGGCAAGGTCCTGGAGCTCGTGGGACAGCTGATAGGCAAGGTAAGGAGCTCTGCTGGCTTGCTGCAGCGCGCTGCAGGCAATTGGCAAGAGCGGACATGGCCGTGCTGTGTGCGTTGTCGATGCGCGCCGCTGCGCGCCCATGTGACAACGCTTTCAAAAATGATGCACGCAACGGCGGCTGCACAACGCAGGAGAAACGTCTCATGCTTGTTGCCGGCTTCTTCATGGTGAGCATTGTCAGCTTGGTTGGATGGGCGCGTTATCGCAGCAGGCGGTGCCGGCAGGCGGCGCAGCCCCACCGCCCCGAACTGGTCTGCGCCACCGCAGCTGACATGCTTAGTACGGCAGCCGCACCTGTGTGGCAAGACGTCTTGTTGTGTTGTGTGGCCTTCCAGGGATGCAGCGGCAGCACAATCAGTCACACGGCTGCTCTGAACAAGGGTCTGTTACGGCCAGCGTCACCCGGCAGCTGCACCACCTGCGCCCGCCCCTCGTGATCTGCGTCGCCGCCGCGCCCATCGCGCCTGGCGCGCAGGCGGCTGGGGCGCTGTGTGAGCTGGCGATCCCTCACTTCACCAGCAAGACCATCTTCGCCGTCAACCGCGGCGCGGCGCCCGAGGTTTTCCACTCCCACCTCCAGATGCTCGCGGCCGCTGCAGGGGGCTTTGCAGTCTTCGCGGCGCTCCGCGGCTGGCTGTTTGGCGTGCTGAACAACCGCTTCGTCTGCAACCTGCGGGCGCGGCTGTTTGGGGTGCTGATGCGGGAAGAGACGTCCTTCCACGGTGAGTGCGCGTGCTGGCGGAGGCCGTGGGGTTATGGCTGGCCTCCACAGGCGCGTCGGAGGCGGCTGTGTACCGCGCATGGATACCTCCGCATCGACAGGAGTTGTCGTGGTGGGCCACAGGAGCAGCAGCAGCAGCAGCAGCAGCGGCAGCAGCGGCGGCGGCAGCGGCAGCAGGAGCAGCAGCAGCAGCAGCAGCAGCAGCAGCAGCAGCAGCAGCAAGAACTGCAGAGCACTTTGTGTTATCGTGACTGACCCCAAGCCAGGGGTCATGCACTCAAGCCAGGGGTCATGCACTCGCTTACATCCTCGTCCTGCCCCATCCCCCGCCCCCGCCTCCCAGACGTGCACGAGCCGGGGGAGCTAACCAGCCGCCTGACCAGCGACTGCTACTCTATCAGCCGCTGCATCGCCACAAACGTCAACGTGGCGCTGCGCAACCTGCTGCAGGTCGTAGGTGAGCGGCCGGCTCTCAAGGCTGGGCCTGCATGGACGCGCGGCGCCATGCCAAGCGGCTGACAACCCGGCAGGCGGGCAGGCCACATACAGGCAGCCGTATGGAGCGCACAAGCCCGCTCAGCGGCAGCCAGGGCGCCAGTGGATTGAACTCAGATGCAGAGGGTCACTTTATGTGTGGCTCGCTGCTTACGAGCTGGGGCTGGCGATGCACAACCTCCCCTGCGTTCTCACCAGGCGGCGGCGCCATCCTCGTGTCGCTGTCGCCGCACCTGGCGGGGGCGTGCCTGTGCGTCTTCTCGGTGCTGTGGGTGGTGACGGTTATATACGGCGCCTACTCTCGCCACAGCCAGCGCGTTGTGCAGGCGAGTGCCCCAGTGCCAATCTGGGGCGGCGGTGCGGGCCCGCGCTAGTGGCTGCCGTGTGGGGCCGATGCTGGTGCGACAGCGGCCCCTCTTCCATGTTCCGCAAGGTCAGCTGGGGCATGTGTCAAGGTGTTTCTGGCAGTGGGGCTTGCTTGCAGCCAACGACGCAAGCCGCTCCGCTGACGCCGCACGCAGGACGTCCTGGCCAGCAGCAACGCGTGCGCCGAGGAGGCGTTCATGGGCAGCCGCGTTGTGCGCGCCACGGGGACGGAGGCGGTGGAGCAGCAGCGATACGGCACCTGGCTACAGTAAGTGGCTAGGATGTTCTCAACGCTTGAGCCGGCGGTGCAGCGGAGTTGCAGCAGCCGGGTGTCAAGCGCATGACAGGGCGGCCTTGCGCACAACACGCAGATGTCGCCCCGTGTCGTATGCGATCCTGCGGTCGGCGCCCTGCATGAGTGCTCTGGTTGCCCATTTCTGGACTCACCTTGCTGCCACGCATCCGTGCCGCCCTGCTCCAAGGCGGCTTTACAACATCGGGATGCGGCAGTCCGCGGCCTGGGGGCTGTACGTAGTGGCGGGCACCACGGCGCACCAGGCGTGAGTGGCTGCTTGCGGGGAAGGAGGGGGGCAAAGCTGCTTGCGGTCGACATCCTCTTGCCCCAAAGTCTTGCATGTTTCTTGAGTATGCTGCCTGACAATGCAGAATCACGGACCAAAATCTCGGCCAAACGCATACGCAGCTGCGAATGGCAGCGACATGCACCTTACCCTGAGATTTTGGCCCGCATCGTCCGCCCCCCTTGGGCGCAGGTGCGTGGCGCTGTCGCTGCTGCTGGGGGGCACCATGTGCTACCAGGGGCTGGTGACGCCCGAGCAGCTGACGGGGTTCATATTCTACGTGCAGCTCGTGACGTCATCGTCGCTCGCGGTGTGCGACCAGTACGGGGCCATCATGGAGGTGGGTGGCCGGCGGGAGGGCGGGTGAGGTGTGGCCAGTGGGATGGGCGGTGGCGTGGCTGGTGGGGTGGGTCGTTGGGTGGGTCTGCGCAGCGTGGCATACTGGTGGCTGTTGCATCGGCTGCATGCATACACGCAGGAAGACCCTGGCTCCCAACGCCCTCATCCCTGCACCACCCCGCCTGACTGCGCCCCCAACTACCACCCACCCACCTGCGCCCCCCCCCCAGGCCGTGGGCGCCAGCGAGCGCGTGCTGGAGCACCTGTCGGACCCGCCCGCCCCCCAGATTGCGCCCGGCATCGTGCCCAAGGCCGGCTTCAGCGGCCGCGTCGAGCTCCGGGGCGTCGGCTTCAGGTGCGGCCGGCAGGCGCCCCGAAACGCGCAAGGCGCCCCTGTTTGACCCTTACCCCCAAGCCGGCGCGCGGGTGTCGTGCGGAGAGAGCCTTGCAGGTGCAGGCCTCCTTTGCATGCACTCATGCAGCCTGACCTCCAGTTTCCATTCCGATGATCCTTCCGATCACCCCCACCGCGCCTGCCGCGTGGCGTCGCGGCTGCTTTTGGTCGGGTGTCCACGCAGGTACCCCAACAGGCCGGAGGTGCAGGCGCTCAAGGACATTGACATGATCCTGCAGCCCGGCAGGTGCGGCCCTTCGCAACCACCTCCGGCGCCGACGCCGCAGCCGCCGGGCGCCAGACGCCAGCATCGTGCGCCCCGAGGCCCTGCGGCGAATTGAAGCCATACAGAGCCCGCCCCGCCTGGTGAAAGCACACGCGCCAGACAGCGGTCCGCCCCCCCTCCCCAATTCAATGGCGATTTGTCTGACCTTTTGCACTTCCCTTCACGCACGCTACCTCCTCCAACCCCCTCTCCCAGGCTAACGGCGCTCGTCGGCCTGAGCGGCAGCGGCAAGAGCACGCTGGTGGCGCTGCTGCTGCGGCTGTACGACCCGACAGAGGGCGCGATCCTGCTGGACGGCCAGGACCTGCGGAGCCTCGACGCCGCCTGGTTCAGGAGCCAGATAGGGGTCGTGTCGCAGGTGGGGGGCGCAGGGGGGGGGGCATCGCGTGCAGGGGTGGGCGCAGGGGCACCCTGCGGTGCTGTGGTGAGGCTGGCGGAGGGGCGGGCGGGAGGCGGCTCGGTTGCACTTACAGATGGGGATGGATGCGGCGGCAAGGGCAGGAAGGGCGCCTTGCCGCCAGAGGGGGGCGGCAAGGGAAAGGAGAAGTGCAGCCCCTGGCGGCTTGATTCAAGCCTGCAGCCGCTGCCGCTGCCGCCCTGTGGCGTTTTGCGCGGCCCCTCTTGACCTCTGCTTCTTCAACGCGCCCCTCCCCGCCCCCAGGAGCCCAAGCTGCTGTCCCTTGACATCAGCAGCAACATCCTCTACGGCTGCCCCTGGCCCGCGACACAGGTGCGGCCCGCTCGGTTGCCTGCCGCCACCATGTCCCAGGTGCATGCAACGCACCGTGGGCGATACGGCCTCGCCCTCCCCGCCCTCAGCCCCATGGCGGCCACGCGGGCACCTGCGCGAATCCCCCGGCCCCACGTCTCTGCACCTCCTGCGCGTCCTCGTTTGTACGCGCACCGCCCTCAAAGGCGGACGTGGAGGCGGCAGCCAAGGAGGCCAACGCGCACGAGTTCATAACGGGGCTGCCTGACGGCTACAGCACTAAGGTCACCGACAAGTGAGCATGCATCAAAAACGGGTGCTTTCGGCTTGATGGCTCTTGCCCTCACTCTCAAGGTCGTCTTTCTAGTCAATATGAAGCTGTGCCTGCACAAAGCTGCCCCGCAGGCCGATCGGCGCGGGCCAACGGTGCCCGGGCTGTGGTGCTCACTGCCCCGGCCCTCCTTGCTGTGCGGCCCCCCGCAGGCTGCTGTCTGGCGGCCAGCGCCAGCGCATCATCCTGGCGCGCGCCCTGCTGCGGCGACCGCGGCTGCTCGTGCTGGACGAGGCCACCAGCGCCCTGGACGCGGGTGGGCGGGGCGGCGCGCGCGGCGCTCCGCCTGGGGGCCTCGTCGAGGAGATGGGCGGGTCCTGCGCGCTGTGCAGACGCTTTGTTGCGTGTGTGAGCGCCCCTGCGCTGGTCGTCGCGCTGTCACTTTAGCCCCTCGCATTCTCTTGAGCGCACACCACACCACGCACTTTTGATATCATACACAAACACTCACACAACCCACACACGCCCCCTGCCCCTGCGACTTCTCAGAGTCTGAGGAGCGGGTACAGCAGGCGCTCGACCGCGTCATGCAGGTGCGTCAACGCCACCACCCAGCACCAGCCCTTGTTGCTTGGCCCCACACGGTTGCACCTTCAGCGTCAGGCGCACGTGGAAGGAATAGCGCCTGCCCTCCCATGTATGCGTGTCAGCCTTGAATCTGAGGCTGCTGCGACCCTCATTTGCACGACTCCTCACGCTATATCCTCAGGACCGCGGCCGCACGGTGCTGGTGATCGCGCACCGCCTGAGCACAGTGCGCAACGCGGATCGCATCGTCGTGCTGGACAGGGGAGAGGTGCGCGGCCCAACCGACGGGCGGGGCAGGCGGGGCGTGCTGCGGCCCGCAAGGCGAGGGCAGGGCGCGTCGTGGCGGCTGCCGACGCAGCAGCAGCGCGCAGAGTGTGGCGCGCCGCCGCCGCCAGCCCTGGGCCGCTCTTGAATTCTTGTCAACAGGCCAAAGTTCTTACATCCCTTGGCTGCCAAGCCTGCTGTGCGCATCGCTGCGCACCTGCCTTGAACGTCACTCCCCGCGCGCGTGCACGCACGTGCGGGCACACACACACACACACACACACACACACATGTACACACACAAAAACAAACACACGCTTGTGCACACACACCGACGACCCTAGATCGCGGAGCAGGGCACCCACAAGGAGCTGACGGCTCTGAAGGGCATCTACTATTCCCTGGTCAGGCGCCAGCAGAAGGGCCTCTCGCCCTCAGACCAGGACCTCAGGTGTGTATGTGTGTGGGTGGGCGTGTGTGTCTGTGTGTTTGCAAAGGCGGGACGCACAGTTGCGCAGCATCCGCAGTGCCTCCACGAGCGCAGGGGTGGACTTCTCGCATAATTGGACGTGTTTATCAACTCGTCACCCCAGCACCCCTGCCAACAGCTCGTGTCCTCGAGCTCGGCTAAACCCCTTCGCTGATGTCATCGTGACACCACCTCGCAGCCCGATGCACCCTCCGCTGATGTCGTCCTTTGAGGAAGACGGCTACGACGGCGGCGGCCGCGACGGCGCCCGCTCAGCGGCCGCGGCAGCGGCCGCCAGCATGGACGGCCAGGCCCCCCTTAACGGGAACGGCCAGGCCTCCGCCAACGGGAACAGCAAGCCGCTGCCGCCGCTGCCCAACATGCCGGGCGAGCGGCCTGATGCAACGCCGGCGCCGGAGGCGATGGCGGCGGCGGCGGGGGCGGCGATGGGGCTCGGGCCGGATATGGTGGTGGCGGTCGCCAGGGCGGACGCGTCGACCGCAGCCAAGTGACGCACACACTGCCAACAGCTGGTGTGTGCGGCGCAAGCAGCTGCAAGTGAGCCGCCCCTGCCGGCCACGCGGCCGGCCGTGTTACAGCGCGGCTCCGGCCCCGGCCAACTCTTGGGGCGCGTCGGGCGTACCTTGCGAGCGCCAGGCCCGCGTGGCATGCTTCGCTGTTGGGTGCCCGGCATTGTACCAAACCCAACCAATTGGGCCCCTTGAGGATTTCTGCCTCCGCCCAGATTCTGCACTGCTAGCCAGCCAGCTAGCTAGCCAGCGTGGGGCCCCTCGGGCCCTCGACCCTGTTTTTGCTTTGCACACGCGGTTGACGAGTCGCGCCGCCCATGCAGAGGCGAGCGGCGCTTAGGCAGCTGCCCGCAGCTGAAAGCGTGAGTGGCAAGAACGCCTGCACTGCGCATCGCGCGGCTGTTGTGGCCCGGTCGGCCGAGCGCCGGCATGCGCTCCGCGTATGGCGCGGAGCGTGACTTGCGCGTCTCTGCTCTCCCATTATCAACAATGCGCGAGATCCTACAACTCGCCAGAAGATTCCCAACGCAAGTGTGCGCGCAAGACTGGAGAGCAGGTGGCTCAGCGCACGGTCACAGCCTCGGCGGCAGCCGGGCTGGCCGGCCGTGCGGCCAACCTAGAGATGTGACCCCCCCTCCCCTCGGCAGCCGCAGAGGTGACTCTGTGTGCGACCGACTGCGTTGCCCAGGGCCCGCGGCCGCCTGAGCAGCCGCTGCCCTGGCAGATCCCACGGGCACAGGCGTGTGTCTCCGTTGCCTATTTGGCGAGCCGGCATGCGCTGCGAAGCCACTGCCTTTGACCGGCCATCTTTACGTTTTGCGCCCTCTGTGTGTGCTCGCGTGCTGCAAAGCACGGCCCGATGTCTTCGAGAGCCCAAATTCCCGCTTGATTCCTGGTGGTAACACGAGGAGCTTTTGGGCTGATAAGCTAATCGGGCTACTACAGGTTTACAGCCGGATGAGTTCGCAGAAACACACACGCAGGTGTTGCCTTGCAGGCCTCATGTGCGCAAGCGCGGTCACCATCCATGCGGCAGCAGCCCTGCCAACTTGCAGCAGCAGCACCCCAGTTCCAGACGAATTCGGGGCCCAGGTGCATTGTCGTGGTCACACATTGACCCTGGTCAACAGCAGCCCGGTTGTTGTTAGCTCTATTGTCCGCAGGGTGTGGTGCACGATCAGAACCATATCTGGCAGGCTACATCAACGCCATGCCTCATGGGCCAGAGACCGTGCGGCAGCGCGTCAAGCCTGATCAAAAGCAGTGACCCAAGTCTGGTCATGGTCTCGAGGGTCAAATCAGATGTCCGTCGCATGGCACAATTAATACTCACACTTTTTTCTCCTTCCTGCGAACCTCTCATATAAAATCACTCGCAATGAGCATTCTGCTACCACAAACGGGAGTGGCGCCCCCCCGCCCCAGCGGTGCGCGAATCGCTATGAAGCATTCATTTAATTTCCATGCGTGCCCCTCACAGACTCGCTCTCGCTGCGTGCGCAGGGCGCGTCAACCCCGCGGCGCGCCACAAGCCGCTTGTGCATGCCGCATCGTCTGGCGACGCGGCTGCGGAGACGGCCAAGTGGGTGGCAGCTGTCGGGCCTGAGCATGTGTGTTAGGGCTGCATTGTAGCTCTGCCAGCCCCAGGCTCATGCATAGTGCTGCCTGCCTAGGCTGTGGCTGCCTGTTTGCATAACCACGGAGGAGAAATAGCACAGCAATAGTGCGCCCCGCGCCCCTTCTTTGCTTTGTTGCAGGCCCTCGCGCGGCGTTCTAATATTGCCAGGCCTGGGAAACAATGCAGCCGACTACGGGCCTTTGGCAGCCAGCCTCAAGGCGCGGGGTCTGGGTGTCGCTGTGGCGGGCGTCTCCCGCCCGGACTGGTCGCGCAACGCGGCCGCGCTCACGGACGGCAACTGGTGGCGGGGGACGCTGAAGCCGCGGCCGGCGGTGGACTGGTGCGCGGGTGCACCGACGGCCTGGGGGCCGCTGCGCAACGGGAGCCCTGGACTGTTCTTTGAGCGGCTGGGACTGGAGGCTGCGGGAGTTTTGAGCAAACCCTGCTCGACGGGCACAGGCCCCCAGTGCGGCTTCGAGAAGCAGCAAGACACATGCAGCAATCTAGCTGCACGGCTATGGCGTATTGGAAGCAACGAAGCTCAGAAGAGCCGTCCCTGCGTTGCGGTGTGTGGTCTGTTGATCTCGGAATTCAAATTGACAGGTACCTGTCAAAGGTCGAGACGGCGCTGGACCATTTGAAGCGCGAGGTCGACGGCGCACCCATCACCATCCTTTCGCACTCGGTGGGCACGCGTGCACGGCGCGCTCTGCATGCTGCGCAGGCGCTCAATAAGCTACGGCACTTGCAGCGGCGGATGCTTGCGCAGTCGTGGTTGTCAAACAGGAGGCCGACGGGAATGCCCTGGCCCTGCTGTGCGGTTGCTAGGCCCCGCACTGGAGAGTTGGGCCCTCGCAGCCGCATGATGTGCATGGCATGGCGCACCAAGTTTGAGAAGCTCGATCTGGTGCACTTGGCGCCTCCCCCACGCCCAACAGGCCGGCGGGTGGCTCGGGCGCGTGTTTATGAAGGTGGGGGCAGCTGGTCGGCTGGTTGGGCGACGGCTGACCCTTACGAGCGCACGGCCTTGCTGTCACCAGCAACCGAGGGTGAAGCGACGCGTTGCATGTGGATGCTGGTGCCAGGTGGTGCAAGTCGCTGTCGCCACGACTTCGTATGACTGTGCCGCACCTGCAGGACTTTGGTACGACCGGCATCGATCGCTTCGTCTCCCTGGGCTCGCCCCACGCACCGCCGCCGCCGGGCGCGACGGGGGTTGTCGACCAGACGCGCGGCATCCTCACGTACTGCTCGGATAACTTCCCTGGCGCCTTCCACCCGGAGGTGCGACCCAGGGGCGCTAGGCAGCTGCGGTCCTGTCGCCCACTGCGGTGCACGGCATTGTGTAGGCAGAGGGGATGGGGTCTCAATCCAGGCCCCGTGCCAGCCACCATGTGCAGACCGCCAACCTGGGATGACTAGCCCGGCCCGCATGCGCGCACGCGCACGCATACACCCACATGCCCACACACACATGCACTCACACGCACACACACTCACAGACGCGCGTGCAAACACACACGCACACACACGTGCACGCGTGCACACTCGCACACACGCACACACACACACACACACACACACATACTCACACATGCGTGCACACACACTCACATGCATACATGCACGCGTTCATGCGCTCACTCACACAACCATGCATGCGCGTACGAATGCGCAATCTTCATCACCGCCGTCCCGCCAGGTCCGTTATGTCACAGTCGCGGGGCGCTACATCAAGGGTGTGCCCTTTGATGGCGAGGGATCTCTCAAGGCCAAGTTTGCGGGCGCGGGGTACCAGCAGGTGGGCACCCGACTGTTGCGCTTGGGCCCTCGAAACGCGTTGGGACGGCGACACATCCGCAGTCGCAGCCCCTGGTAACGGTTGGTTGCTGCTGAATGGTGTGCATCAGTAATCTGCCACGGGGCTCTTGTCCCATGATCTGCATACGGGCATTTACACGCGTTTTGCCTCTATACACACATTCTGTTTCGCTCTCTCTCTCCCTTTCGCTCCCTGAGACGCACTGATGCAAATGCATACGCATAAACACACACGCACGCATCCACAAACCCTCACGCGCAGCGCGCAGCGCACAGCCCACCCGCAAAACGCTGCCGCGCAACCACCTCGCCGGCCCTGTTTCGAGTCGCTGCCCCTGCCCCCGCGACACTGCGCCCAGGTCTGCGGCAGCGCCGAGGTGGAGGGGGACTTCATCGTGCCCACTCAAGCGGCCCACCTGGATGGCGCGGTCAACCTGGAGATTGACGGCGCCTTCCACTCTCCGCTGGGGGCCAAGCTCGCCTACTTTGGGCCCTGGTACGGCTCCGACGAGTTCCTGGGGGCGTGGGTGCGCTGGGTGGACAGCGACTGGGGGGCGCTATCGTCCGGGGAGGGCTGGAGCTCAGAGTCAGAGGAGGAGGGAGCCGGGCCCGCCGCGGAGATGGTGGGCGGGCCGCTGCTGGTGGGCGCGGGTGCGCCGCCGCGGGGTTGAGGGGTTGACAGCGTGGGACGGTATAGTTGGGCAGCACCTGTTGGTTGTGTCGATGCTCTTCCTTGCTGCCAGTAAGCCGTCGGTTTTGTGACTTAGGTGGTGTGAAGCAGCTGGCCTTCCTTCCACTGGCTGGCTGTGGCCCCGTTTCCCTTGAGTTTGTTGCAATACACATTTTTAACTGTGTGAGTGATTGTGAGAGCGCCGTGGCAAACAACTGTGGCATGTGATGCAAAAATGCACACGTTGTTCTGACATTTGAGAACTCTGAGGCTGAACAGTTTGAGACGCACGGCATCTTGCAGTGTCGCTGGGTAATGCCAATCGGGTTACGCCCAATGGGTTTTTGACATCAGCACAAGTCAGCCGCCAGCACTCAAACGCCGGCCACACTGCCAGCCTGCACAGCACTAGCATGATCGATGGCACACCTTATCGAAACATATGCCGGTTGCAGTAAGAGTGTGCTTGATCAGCTTCAATACCCAGTGCTGCTGCAATGACGCCTTCAGCCCCCAAGAGCTGCTGGGCAGGATGGCCCACCCAAGGCAGCCCTTATTGCACGGTCTTGCACGCGGGATGCACGTACGCATAGATGCAAGATGCTTGCATAGAAAACTTGCGACACAGTCATACCCATTTGCCAAACCTTGGCAGGGTACTCCCTGCAGACCTGCATATCCACATGCCTGCAGCAGGCCCAGTGCGCATTGAGGATGCAAGCTCGCCTCCGCTTGTGGCCTCAGGCACACGCAGCAAACGCTTTATGTCACAGATCAGCACGCAGGAGCGCCGGCCGCACGGGCCTGCTTACCAAGCCGCCGCGGAGCTGCACAGGTCCGTGCGCCTCGACACGTGGCCTGACTGACTGACCTGCCAGCTGCCGCCCAAACCAACCCCGGCTCTTAAGGCCGCTCCTTCAAATTGCTTGCTCGTTTATAATTCTCCACACAGCACCCAAATCTTTCAAGATGTACCGCCTAATCGTTCTCCTCGCCCTGCTTTGCAGTGCTGCCGCATCCGGGCCCACCTTCAGCCTGGTGGGCCGCAGCACCCACCTTCGCCTCTCTAGTGGCAATAACAGCATCGACGTCAGGGTTGGCAAGATCTTCGAGGCGGATGCCCAGGGAAGGCCCGTCCCCGGACACGTCCTGCCCTCCCTCGCCTCCATTCAACCCATCATAACAAACGGTGCGTCTAAGAAGAGCTTACTGTGAATTTCTAGCTTGGCTGTGAGGCCTCAAAAGGCGTGGAAACGGAGGTCAAGCTGTTGACCGCTTTGGGCTCCTCAATCGCAAGGCCTCTGGGAAGGCTGACAGCGAAGCCTTTCAAAGATTGGAGCCTTCATCTGTCACACAAATGACCCCTTTGCAGTGCAGCATCGTGCAACTGATCGAAATCACTGCAGGCGCGCTGCCGCTATTGATGATGCGCCGGAAGACAGCGGCGCGCCTAATGCAGCATTTTTGCTTGTCGCCATCAGGCCTTCGCCCACGCATGTATCCTCCCTTATGCTCCCCTCTCCACAGGCACGACCACCGTCAACGGCTCTGATGTCTCCTATGTGACTCTGAGCGTAACCAACCTGAGCTCAGTGCCGAGCTTCAGCGCCGGCTGCCCCGGCGGCGCTGCGTCTCTCGCGACCCTGCCCCTGGCCGACGCCCGCATCGACGTCACTGTGTACTACAACCTCACCCAAGACATCCAGTTCCCCTACGGCAATGGCACAAGCAACGCCACCGCCAACGGCATCAAGTGGAACATGGACGCCCAAGCCTGGTAAGAGCACGCCGGCAGCTGCGTCGCAGCTGGTCAGGGCATCAGCGCAGGGGCTGGTCAGGGCATCAGCGCGACATGCAGAAGTGCATGAGAAACGAATGTGCCATGCATGCACCACGCATCGATGCCCATGCTTGCATGTGCATGCGTGCTGCATGCATGGCAGCTGACGTGCATGTGTGCACACCTAATCTGTCCGTGCATTGCGATGACTGCTCCTCTCGTTCGCCCTCCCGCTGTACATTGTTTCCTCCGCTGCCTGCAGGCCCTTCTGTTCCGCCACCAACCAGCTCATGGTAGAGCTGCAGGTCAAGACCAGCACGGCCGACGACCAGCCCATCCTCTTTGACGACGACGCCGGTGCGAGCGCAGCCTATCTCTCTCAGGCAGGGCGGAGCGGCGCGAGATGTTTGCATGGGGTCTGTTTGTGGGCACCGCTACTTATTGCACGTGCATAAGTTGCATGCGACCTTGTGCACATCTTGATTGGCAACCTCCCGATGGTGGGCGGCCTCCAACATTCCGTTACCTCAACCAACCCCCTGATCGTCAGGTGAGGGCAACGCCACCTCTGCCAACGCGACAGTCTCCTCCCCCGCCGCAGCGTCGCCCAGCCGCCGCCACCTGCGCAGCCTGCTCAAGCAAGAGAGCCAATCCGGAAGCTCCCACGGCGCCGGCTCGCAGGTGGGCGGCGTGCGGCCTCCCAAGCCAGATGCTCCTGGGAACGGTGGCAGGCCAGACTCCAACACAAGCCCCGCCGACCCGTCCCCTGCCGACCGCCCCCAGGCCGCCTCCGGGAACGAGACCGAGGAGCCGCGCCTGGCGCGTCCCTCGCCCAACGCCCGCCCCCCGCGCCGCGAGGACCGCGGCGGCAGCCACGGCCCGCACGACCGCCCGCCGCGCCTGTTCGCCGCGCTGCTGTCGGCCGACGCGGCCGCCGCGCTCGACATCGACACTGTCGCGTACGACGCCAACGTTAACCCCACCGTCGTCTACAACGTGAGCGTCTACATGAAGCCCCAGAAAGAGACCGAGGAGGTGGAGGGCGCGCCCGTCAACATGACCAAGGTGCTCCTGGGCTTCCCCGCGTTCACCACGCTCCACTACGACCCCACCGTCGAGCTGACCACCCCCACCAACGTTGGGTACACCGTGGACAACACGACCACGACCGCGGTGGCCGCCAAGAGCGCAGCCCCGGCCGTGCGCATGGGCGTGCACGCGGCGCTCGGCGTTGTTGCAGCGCTCATGCTGCTGATCTAGTGCTCCCTCTGGGCCGTTAGAGTCTTTTCATTTACCCATGCAGGCTGCCTTTCGCAGTTCTGGGTAGTCCACTCCTGCCAGTGATTCCCATTACCTTCTAAACCTTTGATGCAAGCATGCTTGCGCAGTACAACACATTTGTGTACCAGCAGCCCATATTTCTGTTTTTCCCTTTCTTATTCAGGAGCGTTGCCACCCTTCCAGCCAGACCCCCCAACCACCACCTCGTCACCAGCAAACATGCAGCCCTCACTTACCGCACTTCGCCGGCTTGTGCTGCTATGCATGATAGCTGGTCACATGCCTTGACTTCCTGCCTGATGCAGCAACATGCAGCGTGCCGCCTGGCACGCTTGCCATGCATGCCCTCCCATTATGTGGCACTGCCCCTGCATTCAGCATTATCAGCAGGTTTTACGTGGCCACCCGCCGTTGCCAGCATGCCTGCCTGGATGCCAGCCCCGCAAGTCGTGTAAACACAGCGTGCTTACTTTGTGTTGATCGCAATATGCGCCTGGGGCAGCGAAGGCGCCAACGAGCGTCCGCCGCAAGGGCGAGGTCGAAATGACCCCCAACCAGCCACTCACGCACCCACGCGCTCAAGGGGTGTTTTTGGGGCCCACGCGGGCTCGTGTCAGAGGAGTGGTGGGCCGGATCACTCATGCAAATAAAGGGAACCACAGGGGTTGCGCTCTGAACGACGTGAGGAGCAAGGAAAGACAAGGTTGGTACAATACGCAGCATGCGCGCCTGTGGTGCCGCTGCACTCCTCATACAAGACGCGTAGTTGGTACAAAGGTCTCTTGTTCCTCTGACATCAAGTAAAGGTGTACAACGCCCCTCACTCTTCTGGTGTTCGGGACACGTGCAAGTGCTTCAATCTCAGGGCGAGCGCGCGGGCGCCGCCCGTGCACATCCCCGCGCAACGCGAAGGCGCGCTTGTGCTGCGTCCCCTCTTGTGCAGCGGCTGCGCTCGCAAACGCGCGCTCAGGTTGGCTCGTTTTGCTCCCGGGTCGCACCTCAGCTCTCCTGATCATCGATCGCAATTTTGCACCATCTCTCCACACTTCGCCACGCGTGCCCCTGCGTCCCCTCTCGGCCACAATGGCCGCCACAAACACTACCGCCGCCGCCGCAACCGACACAAAGAGGATGCGGCAGGGGTGGCGGCCATGGCAGCGGCGCGTGGGGCAGCAGGCCTGCGACGTCTCTGTGACCTCTGCTACGATATCCTCGACTCAGATCTCAGAGCTTGATGGCGCGCCGCAGGTCTGACCCGAGCACGGCGCTCTTGCCAGTGATGGCCTCCTCTATGACCGCCGCCGCCAGCAGCCCCTCCATCCGCAGCGCCGGCCGGCCACGCCCCTGCGCGCCCACGAAGAAGGTGCAGGGAAGCTGGTGCACGCCCAGGCGGCTGGAAAGCGCCTCCTCCTCCGGCGCCTCGACCTTGACAAACTCGGCGCCGGCGCCCGCGCCGCCCGCGGCGCGCAGGTCGGCGCGGGTTGCGACGAGCTGCTTAGTCAGCAGCTTGCAGGGGCCGCACCAGTGGGCGCTGAACGTGACGACCACGGGGCTGCCGGAGGACTCTGCGGCCAGCAGCAGCTCTTCGAGCTCGGCCTGTAGGGTTTTGGGCAGGGTTTGGCGGGTTGGGGCCGGACCGGGGCTGGGCAGGGTACGGGTTGTGGGGCGAGTGCTGCTGCGACGGGCAGCTGCGGCGGGCGGCAGAGCCGTCAGGAAGTCTGAGAATAATACCCTCAAGGGCGGGTCCTGCGAGCCTGCCGCAGTGTTAGCCGTGCCGCTTGTGCGCCGTCACCCTTCTGACACCCAGCCCACCTCGTTGACCTGGCGGATCTGCTCCAGCGCCTCGTCGGGACGCGGCTGCTGCTGGGGGATGAAGCGGCGCCACCACTGCGTCGTCTGTTGCTCCTGCACCTGCGTGAGCCCTGCAGCCGCAGCGGCGCGGCGCGTACTGCTGCGCGGCCCCGCTGCACCGCCTGCTGCGGCGCTGCACATGACACGCGCTGAGCGCGGCTGCCGCAGATGTTGTGGGACGTTGGTGCGCACTGCGATAGGTGCCCTCTGCTGGCCTGCAGAGACTTTCAAGTCCACGCTCGGCAACATCGCAACTGTACGTGCTGCTGCAGCTCCAGTTGGCGTGCACCCTAAATTGTACGACTTATGAACCCCCTATTTTGTGTTCGCGGTTGTAAAGATCCCCAACAGGCAATCTCCCGGGCCCCGCGCCGGAACAAAGACCCTGGCGTGTTGAAAGGGGTGTTGCGGGTGTGCCAGTGCAGATATGCGACAATCAGACAAGAAGTTTGTTGGCAACGCGGCCGCATCTTGCGCGGTGCGAATGAAAGGGTGGATTTTGCAAATGAGTAGTCAACCCACCAGCATCCCGGCACCGGTAGCACTGAGAAGGTACGTTATAAATCCAAATGCGCCTTGGCGGCAGAGGCTCTCCTCTCGCCTAGTGCGGCGAATGGCGTTCACAGCCAGTTCCAGTCGGCCGAAACGGGCTTCGGCGATGCTGCGTCACACAAGTGCGCCGCAATGACGACAGCACACAAGGACAAGGTGCCCGCGAGTGCAACAGCGGAGCAAGCAGCCGGCGCGTGCCGTACGCTCGCTTCCCCCCCCCCCCCGACGTCCAACCAAAATGTACCGTTTCAAGGCGTGTCATTACACGCAAGTGTGTTGGAAAGGCGCGCCCCCGCACGAAGCGAGGGGCGGCCGCGCCAATGCGGCGCAAGCAGGCTGCGGCCGGTTGGCGCGAAAATATACTGGCGAGTCAAAGAAGCTACATAGGAAGGGGCAAATCGAACCCAAACAATCCTGCGGCGCATCCAGGTTGTAACGAGATCTATGTATCCACAATTACAAGGCCTATTTGTGTGTTGAGACCGGCAGTGGCGGGAAACAAATCACGACCCCCACCACGCCCTGCTCCTTGCCCCCTCCACAAAAACCACCCTGGGGCCCAACGGCCACAC